AATTTAAAGTACTTCCACGCTATCAGTCACACATCCAATCACTATAGAAACCGAGGACTGTTTTGTACCCAGAGGCAAGGTGCCAACGAAAAAATGGAATCAAATTCTGTCTAATCTGAATCCATTTAATCACTGAGAAAAGAGACATCTGGGCAGAACTCCAGCGGTAAACTAAACACTTTCTAGGCTCACAGTCCGGACGTGATAATTGGATATCATCCTCGGAGATAAACATGCACCTCGAACTATTTCAACCAATCTTGAGAAAATCCACATTGCTCCGCACGTGAAAACAACATGTGTAGGTTTCCAAACATTGTTGTTGCTTCTCTGGTGTCGCTGTCACAAAAATGATAATAACAATTTGGTTACCCACTCCACGACTGTCAGGGGGACGCTGCTGTGCGCAATTGGCTGCTGTGTTTCGCCCTCAAAATACACAGTCAATTTACTTCATGGTATATTTTGTGAAGTGCTTTGAGGTGGCTTAGCGACGTGATAAGGCACTGGCACAGGCTCGGCGCAATAGTAGATAATATTCTTCAGGAGACAATTCAAACAGCCAAATTTTGCACTTGTCATTATTTTCAAGATTAAAGGACATTTAATTGCAGGTGTTGTTTTGAAACCAAAAGGCTGCGTAAATGCATAATAACTGGTGTTAGGTTAACACTTTTAGGTGATCGGAATAGTGGCCAGCTCTAGATCCAAATACTATAGAAAGTAAAACAACTCAAACAGATCATTAACAACTGTCAAGAAGAACACGAAACAGCCAAGGGAGGGTCTGGACTTTTTGCTTGCAAGACAATTCTCGTGGAAGCAATTTAAGACACCACTCAAAAGGACGGCTGGACCTAGAGGTAGATTATTGATCTCCATTGATGAAATTTGACAAGCACATTAAAATAGAATCATTAGCAGATGGTCAGAGCACAGGGTTGCCAGAAGGATGTTCGTCTCCTTGAGAAAGTACTTTGCAGACACTTGATTCCAAATCCTGGCTGCCGGAGGTTGCCAACCGACATTTGAGTTCTTAGATCCTTACGATTCACACTTTACTCCGAAGACACATGACTTTAACAGGATTATTCGAAACTATACACTGAGCCCACAGTTAAATGCTGTTTAACACGACACACACACACACACGATACTGTCTCTGATTAATTGAAAATACATTATCAGCTTATGACTCTCCAATAACTTGAGATTTTTTTGTTGCTTAATAACCACTTAATATCCATTGAACATCTATCAAATTTATATCAAGTTACAGAATTGACAGCGATCATCCCAATCGGGACACACATAGGGACTTGAGCTCAGTGCGGGGAAGTGACAGAATTGTTGGAGGCGCTGCCTTTTGTGTGAGACGTTAAACCGAGGTCCCAGTTGTCTGTTCAGGTTGGCAATCAAGATCCCATGGTACTAATCGAATAAAGAAGGGAATTTCTCTCCCAGTGTCTCGGCCAACAGTCCTCCAGATAAAATTGGTCGTTGACTTCACGGCTGTTTATGAAACATTGCCTTGCGTAAAATGTCTGCCACGTTCAGCGACAAAACACCCAATCATAATATTTTGCAGGAAAAATCCTGTGAAGTGCTTTGAGAGGTTTAGTCAACATGATAAGGCGCATTATCAAATACAAGAATTATTATCATTATTGCTATTTAGTCGGTGAAACGTTACCTAATCCTTCACCAGCCTTGTCTAATATCTTTAATACACCCCGTTTCAAGTGGCAAACGTACTATATTGGACTTTCAACAAGTAGGAAGTTTAATTGAGATTAGGCCGTGACAAAATGCACTTAAGAATTTTACTCTTCCAGTCTGAAACCTAACATTTGATGGTTGTGCGGAGTAATAATACTTGTTAATTATCAGTAGTTTAAGCATTGTGTGTTCCTGAGACTGAATTGGGTGATGGTGGGTGGGGAAAGCAGGGGGAGAGCTAATTAGTAGCTGAGAGAATAGCCTCAAGTGATACCATGCTACACATTTTAATTAAGATCTCCGGATGCTGGAGTCTATTGGGGATTAATGCCCGCTCACCAAACAATCAGATGATGTTATTTTAATAAACTATCTGCAAATTATTATTCATTTAAATGTCGAGAAGTCTTGCTGATAATTAGTAACTGGGAAGAGATGCTTACCAGGCCTTTCATAATCTCAAAATTGAAATACTTGCGGTCATGTCATAAAGTATGTTAGGAACTTACAGCTTTCCCACCAGTTGCCTGTTCCTCTGCGCTTAACCACCAATGATTTGCAAATACTGAGAATTATGCTTTTAGTATAAACCTAACTGCATGGAAATGTAATAATAATCCTTGCATTTGACTTAGCGCCTTATCATGTCTTTGAGGTGTCTCAAAGCGCTTCACAGAATATACCGTAAAGTGTAGGGGCAGCCAATTGTGCACAGTAGTGTCCCACAAACAGACGTGGATTAAGTGACCCAATTTTTTTTTAAGGATTTTTTTAAAAAAGTGACCAATTTTTTAAATTTTAATATATATAAAAAAATTCGAAGGGGTTATTATCCCCAGAAAAATAATCCACCAATCGACTAGCAACTTGGTTCCTATCTACTGTTAGGTAAACAGAGACATTTAGTGAGGAAGGTTTCTAAACAGAGACGTTTAGTAAGGAAGGTTTCACCCCACCTGGGAATCAAACCCAGGTCCTCTCGCTTGCGAGTTGAGTTCCCCAACCAATCCATTGCAGGACTCCATCACCAATTGCTCTTGAAGTTTTCATGCACTCTTCCCTGTTCTCTGGAACTGTCTCCCAACATTCCTCTGCCTTTTTTGCACCCTCCCTCTCTATTTTCGAAACCATCTGAAAATACCTACCTCTTTTACTGCGTCTTAAATCTCTTCCTTCTGACCCTCTCTATTTTTCCACCGGCTCAGATTTCGCCCACAAAATACAATCAATGCACTTTACGGTATGTCCTGTGAAGCGCTTTGAGATAACTTAACAATGTGATCAGGTGCTATATCAAATGCAAAGATTATTATTATTATTTAATTCACCTCTGAGCAGCTCTTTGAGATGTTTTCTTATATGAAAGGTGCAAGTGGCTTTTGTTAACATTGTCTGTACCAAGGCAGGAAAGTGTTACAGCCAAATGTTTCATATATTTCATTAACGTACAACAGTTGTCTGACTTACTTCTTCCACGACTCTACAATAAGTTTTGTGAACATTCAAATGTCATGTGAACTTGCTACGTTGGCACATCCCTTCGAAGTAAATGATTTTATAAAGTCCGTCTATTTTTTTCTGTGGCTTTAATGGTCAAATATTATTCATCTGCATTATAACGCCCACTTGTCACTATTTATCCCTACGTCAAATGCAAGGATTACTGTAAAGTCTCAAAGCGCTTCGCAGAATATACTGTAAAGTGAATCGACTGCATATTTGTGGGCGAAACGCGGCAGCCAATTGCGCATAGCAGCGTCCCACAAACAGTCGCGGATTGAGTGATCAAATTATTATTATTTTTTATTTGTTTACCTATTTGAAGGGATTATTACCCCCGGAAAAGCGACCCACCAATCGACTAACAACCGGGTGCCTAATTACTGCCAGGTAAACTTGCCTAACGTTTCGACCCGTCCGGGAATTGAACCCAGATCGTAACGCTTGCGAGGTGAGTGCTCTAACCAATACTCTACAGGACTCCATCATTGTATTCTCTGAAGAAAACTTTTACAGCTTCTCAGGCTATACCTTGGACTGGGAAATGCTATTCTGACACAGATATTTCAAAAGAAAATCACATCCTTACGGGAGTGGAGTACATTCAGTTCCATTTTGCTGAATAGTTCAAGTTTACTTTGGCAATGGACGTTTATAATATTAATAATAATAATCCTTGCATTTGATATAGCGCCTTGTCAAGTCGTTGTGACGTCTCAAAGAGCTTTATGCAAGGTTTAACTCGAACCATTAAACGTCGACCTTCCAAATGCAAGACGCTAACCTGCGTGAAAAGAGCTGCATAAATGCAACTTGTTGCTGTTGTTGTTGTTGTTGTCAAAATGGTCAGAACAAATAACGATATAAAAATACTCCGCATGAGAATATTAAAAATAAACGGCAAGGCGCAGTGAGAGAAAACTGACACCAGAGAGCAGCAACTCTCTAGATCGCACCATCTAACTCTCAGGAGCCACCAAAGCCCTATTTAGATTGTTTAGCGCATCAATTTGATGTGAAAATTGCACTGAATGGATATGGAGCTCACATCTAAATCCTGGGTGAGGGTCACAATCACAAGTCATTTGTCTGTAGACCGCACGACAATTGCTGTCAGCGCTTCGTAGGGGTTTGGAGGGGGCTTTGGAGGTGGAAAGAAATCAATGATGATTCCTGCTTCTCGTCACAATTCACTGTTATTGCTTGCGAGTCCTTATAAGATGTAGTGGACGTCGCAGAGTGGCCTGGTTCAATCACTGGGCACAACTGTCTGTCGTGTTTTGCCCACAAAATACAGTGTCACTCCACTTTACAGTATATCCTGTGAGGCACTTTGAGACGTGAGCGATAAGACGCTGTATCAAATGCAAGGATTATTATTATTATTATTATTTTTATTATTATTATTATTATTTCAGTCTAGATAATGATGCCCTCACAGCTGCTTTCATCCTGTACTCGCGGCTGGGGTGGGTGTGCTACGTTGTTAAATCAAGCTCCCGTCTGCCTGTTCAGGTGGATGTTATCAATCCTATGACAGGTTTTATATCAAAAGCAAGGATTATTATCATCATTGTTATAACCTACCAAAGATCACAGTGTAGGCGTACACATGAAGAACAATTGCCTATGGTTTCTACGATTTCTACTAGGTAACAGAGAGCAACTGACATCTCTGTAACTGTATTCACAGATCTTGCATTTTCAAGAGCGGAGAGAGAATGGGAAAGGAAGTAAAATAAAATATTAACGACTGTTAAAAAAGAATAAACTCTGTTCACCTGTTATTTCCTTCAGGGGATCATGTTGAGATACCTGCAATAAGACACAGAGAAATGTTAACGTGTTGATAATATGTTGCAGCTTAATTGTAAATATAATAAACCTTGCATCTGATATAGCGCCTTCTCTCATCTTCTGGACGTCTCACAACGCTTCACAGAATATACTGTGAAGTGAATTGACTATATTCTGTGAGAAAACGCGGCAGCCAATTGCACACAGCAGCGTCCCACAAACAGTCATGGATTGAGTGACCAAATTATTAGTTTTTTTTAATCTATCTATCTATCTATCTATCTATCTATCTATCTATCTATCTATCTATCTATCTATCTATCTATCTATCTATCTATCTATCTATCTATCTATCTATCTATCTATCTATCTATCTATCTATCTATCTATCTATCTATTTATTTATTTATTTATTTATTTTTTTATTTATTTATTTATTTATTATTATTATTATTATCTCTTTGGAGGGATTATTAACCCCAGAAGAACGATGCGCTAATCAACTAACAACCGGATTCCTACTTACTTCTGGGTACTTCTGAGTCGTGTGGCGGAAGGAGACTTGCCCACCATTTCGCCCTGTGCCCGGGAATTGAACTCAGGTCCTCTTGCTTGCGAGCCGAGTGCTCTAACAACAAAGCTATAGGACTCCACAGGACCCTCAAAACCAGGTCAGATGAAAAATTTCAAAGCGTACATACAGTATTGATGATCTACCAGGTTTCCAGTACGATTGATGTCTTTAGGTATTAAGTTCAAGGCATTCAGTCAACAAAGTGCGTCGTGTTTTTCAACCTATTTTAAATTCAGTTACATCAATGTCAGGTGTTCGGTGCTGAATTACACACAACTTTAAATTATTGCCTATTTTGTTTCTCAGATGTACTTAATTATAAATAATAATCCTTGCATTTGATATATCTCCTTATATGTCAGGAGGACATCTCAAACTGCTTCACAGGTTCACCCTGAAGTCATTTTATACAGTGAACATGACAGGCAATTTGTGTACAGAAATGTCCCACAAACAGCCTTGAGGTGAATAACCAACTTTGGTTCATCAATGCTACTTTTCTGGAGTTTTAGCAAAGCACTGCTTTAGAGTTCTCAAACTCTGAACAATCTTTAATAATAATAATAATAATAATAATCCTTGAAGTTGATATAGTTCCTTTTCATGTGATTGAAACATCTCAAAGCACTTCACAGAATATACTGTAAAGTGGATTGACTGTGTATTTTGTGGCGAAACGCGGCAGCCGATTGCGCACAGCGGCGTCCCACAAACAATGGTGGACTGAGTGACCAAATTATTATTATTATTCTATTGAAGGATTATTGCCCCCGGAAAAGAGATCCGCCAATCAACTAACAACCGGGTTCCTTCTTACTGCTGGGTAAACAGGAACGTGTGGGGTAAGATTCTCTCGCCTGTGAAGCGAATGCTCAAACCAATACGCTACAGGACTCTTTAAGTGCATAACATTGTGACGCCACGTTAAATCCCACATTCTAAAGATCCCTTACCTTCCTTTAGCAGACGGAATTAAGATACATATGGCATCAAGCCCAGGAGAAAGACATGTTGATCCACTTCCAAAAAGAACGGCCGATAATATTTAAAAATCAGCTTATGACTTTCACTGTCGGCCTGTCAGTTCAGGAGACGTTTTCTTTTAAAATGTGCAGATTAGAGACTCAACAACAAATACCAAACATCTTAAGTGTTGATAAACTGCGTTTTTTTTTCGCCGGATTCATTTTTATCTGGTTCGTGCACTCTAATAAAAATCATTTTAGCTAAAGCTGGTAATGATTTACTAATGTGTAATTCATTTTAAATAAGCAAGTCAATGAATAATGAGCAGCACATTAAATCCAAAACACATTTGAGCAGAACTACAGAACATTTCCCAGGCATTCCTTTATCTCATTACTCAGAAGTAATGAATCACGGTGTTGGCTGTAGCAATGTGTTGGTTCGACCACAAGTGAAAGGACCCGGGTTCGATTCCTGGGCAGGGCGAAACATTAGGCAAGTTTCCTTTCTCCGTACGCCTCTGTTTACGTTTGAGACGTCTCAGCGACGTGACAAAGCACTATATCAAATGTAAGAATTATTACTATTAATAAATAAGCATATTGTCTTGATCAGCCAGTCCAAAGGTGTACAAGCGCTCTGGGAAGCTACCCTATGTGAATGCCGCTATATAAAAGTAAGTCATTGTGTTGTATACAATATCTAAAGATACACTGCACTAAACGGAGTGCTCCACTGGACTATTGTTCAAGTCCCAACATAAACCTCAATAACAAGGAGCAACCAAAAGCTCTGGTAGGGCGCAGGTATCTCAATCTCAATTTATAGCGTGGCGTCGTAAGTTACATCAGTAATATAGAGCCACCCTCACCTCCAAGAGTAATAGAAAAAGCACATGAAAGTCAATATAACTGCAGTGCGTTCTTTAATATGCAGCATTTTCTATAAATTTAGTTGGCAGCTTCGGAGAAACAATTTGGGTTTAACTTGGTTACAGTGGTTTGGTTTTGTGCTTCGATTCTAACTAATAGTCTTTCGTGGACAAACATGTTTCAGAATGTCTAACAGATATAGCCTTATCTTGAATTAACGCAGACACCTGCACCATTTAGTTTCAGACCGACATGCCAGTGATCGGGCAAAATAACAGCTATTTGCACCCGCATTCCTTCAGTAACATCGAACACTGCCAATAGGCCTCTGAATAACAATACATCTCTGCGTGCCTCAGTGGAGACCGGGTCACAGAGCGGAATGGGAGTGTGTGTAAGGAGTAATAATAATAATAATCATAATAATAAACCTTGTATGTGATATAGCGCCTTATCAAGTCGTTGAGAAGTCTCGACACACTTCACAGCGCTTTATACCGTAAAGTGGATTAACTGTGTAATTGGTGGGTGAAACGCGGCAGCCAATTGCACACAGCAGTGTCCAAATGCAAGCACTATTATTATTATTATTAAATGCCCACAATAACCTAAAATATACTAATATACGGCCTTTTCTAAACATCAATTAAGTATAAGGTGCCAAATATGGGTCATAAAATGTTCTTTACGTGCAGCATACAAGTTAATTATTTCAAGTTCCTTTAGACACGTTTTAAAGTTTTTTGACATCAAGTCACTCTGCGATATTCGCTATTAACAGTTCAGCAGGATTTCAGGAATTTAATTATGTTCTTTCAGCATCATAGAATTCCAAAGAGAGCGGACTAATTCACACAAGCCCTGGAGCAGGCACTGCCATGTTTACACGGTTGTTAGCTGATCGGTTGTCATGTAAAGATTAATGATTTGTAGGCAAGAATCCTTACCTATCTGGAGAGCATCGCTCTTTATTCTTGGCAGCGATTTATATTTATTCTGAACATTTTGCAGAGAGGAGAGTTTACACTAAATATAGATGTTTGTGTCTGGAATAAATAACGATAATAATCCTTGCGTTTGATAGAGCGTCTGTGTGTTTTGTGGGCGAAACGAAGCAGCCAATTGTGTCCCGCAGACTGTCATAGAAATAAATAAAACTTAAAACAAAACCTGGATTGTTTTGTGACTCAATATGAAGTGGAGTACAGGTGATATATTAGATTGAAAATTTTCATTGAAGTTTATGTGATTCTGAATACTGTTTATATTACCTGTTCTGGAACATTAAATAATTAATCACTTCTGCAAATTTGAGAACAAAATACAGTTGTAGGTTAGAAAGCTGATCAGATCATTCTCCTCGCAAGAGATCCGCAGTATTTCTGTCATTAACTAAGGAAAGGTAGAACTGGCAACTATTTTACTTAATCTTCCATTTTTCGTTGATTCTTACAAACTAAAATAGTGAAGTATATTCTTAAATGTCAAAGTCGAACCGATCTAAAACAATATTTTCTTAGAGGTCAGCAGAGGTTCAGCTGATTCTAAGTTTGATTGGCATAAATTCATAAGTACAGAAATCCTTAAGTTCCTTGGGGAAATGTACGTGACATTTTTAGTGACCAGTTATTTAAGATCACACACTAAAATGTTGTATAACACACGTAAGCAGAGTGCATAGATTTTGATTATTTGCACTTCACTGAACACTAATTTAAATCACCCAATTTCCCCAAGGATGGTATTTGAGTGTCGTTTTCAGTCCTGAAGATCTGCGAATAATCAACACATCATAAAAGTGTATTTGTTCAGTTATATATTTGTTCTTTTGTAACTTCAAAAACCTTTCAATGTTAAGATTTTAATTATTGAGTGTGTGATATTTCCTTTTAATAATTTCCATGCCTTTTGCTTGTCTGTTATATTTATAGTAAACTACTTTCTCTTATATTAGGTTCAGAATTTTTAATATAATTAAGTTATTTCCATGTAAGTAAATGTGGGAGTCAATCCCTTGGCACCATTTCTATTTGGTTTGTTATTCCTTCAAGAACATAAGAAAAATAGCACAAAATACAAAATCTTGGATCGTTTTTATGGCTGGATTCTTACTTTGAAAAGAAAGACATTTCTGCAAACTAACTCGAGACATTTTCTGCGGTAAAATAATAAGAGGGGAAAAAAAAAACAATTTGACCCCGTTCCTGTTTCTAAATATAAACGAGTTCATTGATTACAGGATTGCAGGAGTCTTGCTGCTCAGTCAGGAGTCCTGTAGCTCAGTGGTTAGAGCACTCGCCTCGCAAGCGAGAGACCTGGGTTTGATTCCCAGAAGGGCGAAACGTCGGGCAAGTTTCCTTATTCCACACGCCTGATAATAATCCTTCAAAAAAAAACTGGTCACTTGAATCCATGACTGTTTGTGGGACACTACTGTGTGCAATTGGCTGCTGCGTTACACCCACAATTATACACAATCAATTCACTTTACAGTATATATTCTGTGAAGCGTTTTGAGACATCTCGAAGACCTAAAAAGCACTATATCAAATGCAAGGATTATTTATTATTGTTGTTATTGCTGATGGGACTATCGATTGATTGTTTTTTTTGTTGTCGCTGTGTGCTTTCCAATCACAAGATTAATATTAAATTGAAAGCCTGCAATTATAAAAATATGATTACAGTTCAATTATAAACAGACAGCAACAAATTTGCGAAAGCTAGTGAGCAGAGTGGAAGGAACCCTTAGGTGTCATGGAAACCAGGGACATTTTGACCGCATTTTGTGCAGAAAATAAGCGTAGGAGATGGTGTTATTCAGTGGTGTTTGGCTCACCGTCGAGCTATTTGTACTGTTAGCCAGAATGCATGCCAGAGAACTATTCTTCCTGCAATTATTTTGCCCCGAGAGACCCACACTCGGTCTTATACCGACTAGTAAGCGTAGAAGCAGACAGTGGAGCCAAATGCTTGGAGCCATTCAGATGAACAGCAAAAAAAGTCACTGATCAGCAGTTAGTGGTCAAAACAGCAGAAGGATCCCTAAAGCATTAATTTCAAACTAAAGTTATTTAGCAATTCAGGGTCTGGCCTCTATCACTCTGGATCCTCTTAACTTCAGCAATTCTGTTTTAGGTAAAGTAAGCTGCCAAATATAACTGCTGGTGTGTTCCTCAATTGCTCCTATGGACAATCACCATAACAACTGTTAACTCAGTTGGGAGCGATCGCAAGACTGATTAGGAAATATGTGAGTTCCAGTAAACGTAGCTGAAGTGTAGCTCATTACGAAATGATTAAGGTTCATAAGGCACATGACAGGAAATGATCTGAAAATGATCTGAACACTCTAATGGAATGGTGATGCCACACGTACTTTACCGAAAGGAAATTTATTTCGCCCACAAAATATATACGAAATATAATTCACCTTACAGTATGTTCTGTGAAGCGCCTTGAGAGGTCTCGAAGATGTGATAAGGCGCTGTATCAAATGCAACGATTATTATTGTCAAAGTGTGCATGCTGGACATCTAATGATCTTATTATTGTTATTATTTGGATTCATACACTACAGTGTACACCTTCGGATCACATTATCTTCTTGTGACAATTAGTGTAAGAAATGTATTTAAAGTTACAACCTCAAATGAATGTGCTAATTTTCCATTTCTTTGCCTTCAACCGCAATCATTTCCTTCTGATTTATTCTTCCTTACAATCTAAAGGAAATGCATCAGCAACAGTACATTAAATGACTCCCGTGTCTCTTATTCCAGTTTTTCTTTGGCTGACTTTTCATATCGGCATGGGTTATTGATGTCATATCTCAGCTGTGTTTATTTGGTGTATCCGGTTGAACATTCATGTAATCATTTTAAAAGGTGGATGTCATGCAATCTGATAATCAGAGACTGCTACATTTTGCTTCAAGCAACATAATTGTTTTCGCACAATTTAATGTTGACACTCCCCGTGTAACAGCTCAGTCTTTTGGGGAATTTATCACATCAAACTGATCAAAAAGATAGTTCAGGTCATTCGTTTGATTTCCGAAGCCCATTTTATGTAAAGTCTTTACATTGGATAAGCAGAGGAGGAATTTTACTTGAGTCGGATAATTCAAGGGGGACGACTGGCGTTAACTGTTTCAAGAAAGCATTTCCTTCATTCAACTTTGGCTTACCAATATTAAAACACTGCGATGCTCTCACGCATTTCACGCTGAGTTGTGCTGCACCGGGAAGCTCACACAGAGTTCCTGGTGCCTGCCGTTCCACTTAGTGAGGCTCAAACCCACGCTTGTCAGATGTCGAACGACCGCGACCGACTAGTGACTATCCTCGTTGGGGGGAGGTAAGCGGGTGGACGTGTGTGGCAATGGAATGTCAGAATCAAGCCAACACTCTGTGCCGGTGTCTAGTCCTGTTCCTGAGCCGGGCGGGTCTGCGGTATTCCAGGGCACTGCTGATGGCAGCGCATTCAGTTCTGGCTCATTGTGGCAGGAAATGGAAGGGCAGACCAGTCGCTGGGGACAGTCCCACTCAGCTCCTGTTAACCCTGTAAGCCAAAACCGTAAGGGGTAGGGTGGTCCTAGCTGCACAAACAGCGGGAAAGCACAGTGCTTTCGATGGCAAGGTTTCTGGTTTTAGCTGGTGAGACTCCAGCAGTTATTCCAACACACACTCTGGGGTGCCCAAGCCTTGGCTTTTGCCAACCTGCCCCTAATACTTTCCAGAATTAGGTATGTAGTGCTTCAATGGCAAGTATGCAGTATTAGCTGGTGGATTTCAGCTAAAAAGTATTTCTAAACTTATAATGATAATAATAATAATCTTTGCATTCGATATAGTGCCTTATCACCTGGTCAAGACAACAACAACTTGCATTTATATAGTGGCCTTCACGCAGGTCAGTGTCTCAAGACGTCTCAAAGCTCTTCACAGAATATACGTAAAGTGAATTGACTGTATATTTTGTGGGCGAAAAGCAGTAGCCAATTGTACACAGCAATGTCTCCCAAACAGTCGTGAATTGAGTGACCAAATTTTTTTTTTGAGGGTTTATTACCCCCGTAAAAACGATCCGCCAATCGACTAACAACCGAGTTCCTACTTACCACTAGGTAAACAGAGGCGAGTGTGTGGAGTAAGGAAACTTGCCTATGGTTTCTCCCTGCCTGGGAATTGAATCTCTCGCTTGTGAGGCGAGCTCTCTAACCACTACTCTACAGGACTCCAGCAATGTGCCGCTGGTTTCACAATGGAGTGCTCAGATAGTGGAGTGGAGGGCTGTGTTGGTAGTGCTGCCATGTGGATAGCTGACAGGTTCTGGAGACCCAACAGCTGGTGGACAACCAAATTGCCCCAAAATGACATCAAAGCCAGGGCTCTTTAAATAGAGAGACCCGCCCCCAGCACACACACACACACACCACACACAGTCAGTCAAAGGCAAGATAAAAAGCATCGTGGTGTGCAGCTAAGAGCAATAGACCAGGCGATAGCAATGTAAGAATCACCCTGTTTACTGTTCACCAACTACAGCAAGGCAGTAAAGCAAATCAACCAGCTCCCCGATCTGGACAAGATCAGCTGTGATCAGCAACTGTTACAGAAGTGAAAACCAGCTCATCTCTGGTGTCCAGAAATAGCAGCATGAACGACATCAAACTTGCCGTGTTAGGCAACGAAGGAGTTGGTAAATCTGGTGAGTAAACGTTTGATCATTTCGACACAACTATTGTGGAAGCAAATTGCAGCCAGTCCCTTGTGTGGTCCTCTCTGTTTGCGTGAAATGCGCCTTACAGGCAATTTTACACTGTGGTTTTGTGCAGCGCAATGTGCAATTTGATCTGTTGATTTCTTTATGTTGCAGCTCTGATCGTGAGGTTTCTGACAAAACGTTTTATTGGAGAGTATGCCTCTAACTCTGGTAAGTCCAGTACTGTATGAAAGTGGACCTGTGTTCTCAGTTTGGAATCTGATGCACGAAACCCTAGTTTAACAACTTAACATTACCTGCCTTGGTTTCCAGTCTGATTACTGTAGCATTGCTCGAATTGGGGGGTGGGTGGTTGGGTGGGTGAGTGGGACGAGCATTGTGGGGGGTGTTCGAAGGAAAAGAAGGGAATTCTCAGCTGGTCAGTACATTTTCTGAACTTGTCGAGCGAGTTCAAGTTTAATAAAATGCACCGTACCAGCAGAGAATGAACAACGACAACAACAACGACACCAAGATGACATTTGTACAGCACCTTTCACGTCGGGAGAAAGTCCCACTATCCCACAAAACTCGGTGTTTCCGCCAATCGTACCATCCCATCCTAGATAAGCTTTACAGTAACATTTGAGGAGTCAAATTTGAAATAGAATGACATTGCCCCCATTTCATTATAATTAAGAAAGCCTGTTATTGTGATGGTCATAATTTTAGTGGTGTACACAATAGGAACTTCCCCCACCCCAAAAAAAAATATTCGATCATGTTGGTAGAATTTAAGTGCAACGTTTTCTTAAGGAAAGATGATTTTTCTGTGTAATTTGTGTGCAGAGAGTAATCTTTACAACGCTTGTTTCACAGAGTGCATCTACAAAAAACGTTTATTTATCGATGGGAAGCAAACAAATCTGGAAATATTTGATCCTTGTTCACAAGTAAGTTCTTTGGATTAGATTGGATTTGTTGCCTTACAAGTCATTGAAATGTCTCAATGCCTTTCACGGGATTTGCTGTAAATTGTAGTGACTCCAATGCAGCAGCCAATTTGCACCACAGCAACAGCCACAAAGTGAATGACTACATTTAACCAAGAGATTGTTGGCTTGGAAATTGAGAACAACTCCATTCTCTTTTTTTCAAGCAGTGCCATGGGAGCATTTTCCATTGTTTGATGCCTGCATAAAAGTGTGCGTTTCTGACACACTTTTACAAGGCACTCTCACTGCGAGAGCACATTTTTTTACGGTTCTACCTGTCCCTTGTTCAGCTTTGACATTCCTAAGGCTCCAACCGTATCTTAATTCACTTTGTCACAATTCTTCACCTCCTGGCATCGTAAAAAAAAAAAGATTTATCAATAAATTTATTTGGATCAGGTGATGGATCATCATGACAATCGCTAAATATTCATGTTTACCAATTCTTATCGATTCCAAGCCTACTTATACTACATGGTGCACAAGGCACAAATTATACAATTTATACCGATTAGACTGATACCAGTTTTACTGTAGACCAATTCAGACAAAGCTAACATGCCACTTCTGTCTGATTTAAGGGGTAGGGGCAGAGAGAACTTGTATTTGAAAGCACCTCGTGTGGATAAGGTTTCAAAATGCTTCATAAGCAATTATGGGCGAGGGTAGCAACTTTGAAGCAGCCACGAGGTGAAGTGAACGACCAATTAATTTGAAGGATTGTTGAGTGAGAGCAAACAGAAGAAACTCCATTCTCTTTTTGAATCGTGTCCTGGGATCTTTATCAAGCAGATGGGGCTTGTCAGAAATATGACACCTCTGATATTCAGCTCTTCCCCAGAACTTGATTCCGAGACGAACTTGGACAAAAGTGCTATCAATTGATATATTAGATAAAGGTCTATAGAAGCAAACCACACAATTCCCAATCTGCCTTTTCTCTCTCTTTTTAATTATATTATCATCTCTGCATGTTGACTATTTTGTGTTACTAATGTGTAGGTATCAATATCACAACTTTATTTAGTTTGCAGTTATTTTACAACAAAAAATTAGCCCTGGCAATGTATTGCTGTTAGAGACATCTTAACTAACCCAAATTATATATGATAATAATAATAATCCTTGCATTTGATATAGCACCTTATCACATCTTTGAGATGTCTAATGAGACAGTAAAAATGTGCTCTCACAAAATACACTGTAAAGTAAATTGACTGTGTATTTTGTGGGCGAAACGCATAGTACAGAACTGATGAGACTCATAAAATGGTTTTATAGGGGGCAGATTTCTAACCATCTTTCAAATACTACCTTTCTTTTCCAGCCTTCTGAAAGCAAGTCGTCATTGATTGATCAGCTGAACTGGGCGGATGGATTTGTTGTGGTTTACAACATTGGTGACCGCTCCAGCTTTGCCTCTGCCAAAACACTCATCCACCGGATAAGAGAATTGCATGGTGAAGTGTGCAAAAGGTACGTTGAATTAAGCGTGTACTAATTTCTCTGGTTAGCTATTGCTGTCAAAGTTTTCTGATGTCTTAGACTGCCTGTCTGTCCAACGCCTTGGGACGTCCTCCCGAACGTGAATGGCGCTATACAAATGTAATTTTGTTGTTGTTGCCTCAGTTACATTTTTAAAAAATAATTACGCATAAGGACATAGGAACAGGAGGAGGCCATTCAGCCTCTCGAGCCTGATTAATAATAAACATAATCCTTGCATTTGATATAGTGCCTTATCACGTCTTCAAGGCGTCTCAAAGCGCTTAATGGATTAGATTGTAAAGTGAATGTTTGTAGAGGGCACTTATTATAACTGTGTGCTGCTGAAATTTATACATTTTCCGAACATGATTACCGTTGCCTTTCCTTCTCACAGGGACATCACCTTGGTGATATTTCTGGTTGGCAATAAGCAAGATCTGTGCCATGTCAGAGAGGTGCAGGAGGAGGAGGGACACATCTTAGCCGGGGAGAACAAATGCCACTTTTTTGAACTGTCTGCAGCAGAACATCACCAAGAGGTCACGGTGATGTTTTCGAAGGCCATCAAGAACGTAAACTCCAACCGCAGGAGACGTCCCAGTGGCTCCAAATCAATGGCCAAGCTGATTAACAACGTTTTTGGTAAAAGACGAAAATCTGTGTAGCATACTGGCCTGCTGTAATGAGTACGAAATCCCCACTGAAGTCTTACCTACCATTTCCCCCTTTCCTCTTTGCTGCGATCCGCAAGTGAACTGTAAAATGAACTCTCCTCCAATGGCTAAGTTGGTAAAGCCAGAAGGCCCCAGGTTCAGTGCCTGGTCTGCTCTGAGTAAGTTGATCGCAGCTGAGGATACAATAGCGGTGTTGGCAGTGGGAATCAGTGAGCCTGGGTTAGGGACGTGAAAATCATCCAGGGTTCCATTCCTTATTGAAGTTCAGTAATCCCTGTTGAAAATACGTAGCATATTGGTTAGCCCTCTCGCCTCGCAAGCGAGAGGACCTGGGTTCGATTCCCGGGCAGGGCGAAACGTGAGGCAAGTTTCCTTACTCCACACGCCTCGGTTTACCTCGCAGTAAGTAGGAACCCGGTTGTTAGAAGATTGCTTTGGCGGATCGCTGTTCCGGGGCTAATAATCCCTCCAAAAAATAAATAAATAATAATATGGTCACTCAATCCGCAACTGCTTGTGGGACACTGCTTTGCGCAATTGGCTGCAGTCTTTCGCCCACAAAATATATAGTCACTACACTTTACGGGGTATTCTGTGACTTGCTTTGAAATGTCTCAATGACATGATAAATGCAAGGATTATTATTATTATTAAAAATATGCTCGCTGATGGACATCTGTTTGTGAGGGAAAGATAGGGCAAATTGCATTGTTGGACAACACCTATTGTCAAGATTCAACAGAATACCTACTTGAGGTGTCAGTGTTTATGATCCTTTACCCCAATGCCTTCAGGAAAGGAAGCAGAAAGGGAAGGGAATTTGAGTGGAAACGCGTCCAAAATAGTTCATTCTTCCTAATCAATAGAAAATATCAATCGGTTGAAACATCAAAATGTTGTCTTTGTGAACTAAAAGGAGATCAATTTCATCTTCCAAATGAGAACTGGGTTAATCAGTCCATTATCTTAATTTGTCAAACTATTTTTCAGTGATCCTAACATGGTACAGAAATACATCCGTGGTCATAAAATTCGCTGAAATATCATTTTTGCATTTATATTCTGATAACTAGTGTATTTAAGTGTTCATCTTTTTGTGAGTGATGGTTTGGTACTATATACTGACAAAAGATTAGTGTTGTAATAAATAGCCTGAGACAAAATTCTGCTATCTAGTCATACCTGCAGCAGATATTTTGTCCGAACTAATGGTACAAAGAATAAAAGTTGGGAACATATTATATTAAATACTGTACCTGAAAATGTTTTGGAGTTCATAAAAATGCAAGGGGCTTATTGCTACTCCATTTATGTAAATAACCAGCCTTGCTTTACGCATTCTTTCATGTGTTGAATGTTATTTATATGTCTTCTACTTTTTTTATACTTCAATTGTTGTATGTACAATAACGTGCAATTAAAAAAAAACACATTACATGTGCGATAGCCTCAAAGTAGCGTTTATTTCCCCAAAGGATTGACAAACGACTTCAAGATCCACACATACAAATTTCTTCACTCACTTCCGAGCACCTCCCTATCTCTCTGACCTGCTAATACCCTTTTACTTTGTCCACCTCCTCACTCAGCAAACACAAACCTGTTGCATGTCCCTCCACACTACCAGTGGTGGCTTTGCCCCCAATCTTTGGAACTTGTCTGAATTCCCTGCCTCAATCCCTCTGCCTCATCCTCTCTTTATCTCTCTTCAAACCCACCTGACAACTTTCCTCTTTGACCATGCTTACAGTCATTTTCAGAATGGCAGCATCAAAGCCTGCCAGCTTTATCTGGGTTAACATTAACATCTCTGGCCAACAATCTCCCCAAATAAAATTGGCCATTGGCTGTTTATGGGACATGTTTGCCTCCATAGTCACTCTATTGTTACAGTGAATTCTCTGAGGCAATCTTCGAATGGGATAAGGCGTTGTACAATGTGAGGATTATTATTATTATCTTGTTCACTGTAATACATTCAAATGGTTTCAAATAATGTTGCTAAACCATAACAGTAATAGCTGCAAGTGAGTTACCATGGTAGCAGTCACTTGCACCTTAAACCTACTGCAAATTTTGCAGCATTTTAAGCCAATTCCGATATGTACTTGAATAAGCCGCTTAATCTTTAAAAGCAGGACATAAACTATCTTGGAAAGAATCTGTGTCGTATCTGTGTATATGAGGTATATATATTGTTAACGTTTTACTTTAAAAATTAGTTTGGACAGGGATTACCGAAGAAGTGTGGCATTTTGATTAAAATATGATATTTTGCATAAAATTGGTTATTCACTTTATGGCTGTTTGTGAGATATTGCTGCGCGTACATTGACTGCTAAGTTATTTTACAAATTGCACAATCAGTACACTTTACAGTAAATCCTTGGAGCACTTTAAGACTTCTAGAGAACGTGATAAGGTGCTATATCAAACTCAAAGACAAGCTATTACTATTCAATGGTGTGGTTTTCCGATTACCCTTCAATTCCCCAGGTTTGGCTCATCCAGATCTGAAGTTTGTACCTGTTTGTCTTCCAAACAAATTTCCCTTTTGAGCCCCTCGAAAGAACAGATTTAATGGAACTTGCTAGACTTCTCCTATTGAGCTAAGATCTTTTTAAACATGCTTTTAAAATGAGTCACCATCCTCCTACAGCCAATTTCTAATTCTTCTTGTTCGCCTACTTGATCCTATCTGATTTTTGCATTCTGTCTATGTTAGCTCCAGTTATGCCGCAGCTCCTTCCAAACGTGTTGTGTTAAACGTCTTGCTTGAGAAACAGAGCTAACTTTTACGACTCTGTGAAGTTAAGTGGTTCCAAAACCATTATATAAGCATGAAAAATTCAGCATGTGATGTTTATCACATTAAGAGGCATTCACCTCCCGGCAATGTGCCAGTCATTAACTGTCTGAAAATTCATTCCACACCATAACTTAATTCAAATGTTTGCACCAAAGTTGATCTCTTTGAACCTACCATCACGTGTCCCCCAGCAGTTCAGTTCTGGTTTGGGAATACTGTTTTAGTTCCACTGCAAAAGCAGAGTTAAGATAGTATTATAATCCTTGCATTTGATATAGCACTTCTCTATGCTGTCGAAATGTCTCAAAGCATTTCACAAAATTTACTGTAAAGCGTAGTGCCTGTGTATTTGTAGGCAAACACAGGAATTGTTATACAGGTAATATTCATTTTTTTTTCCTTATGATTGTCTCCATCATTTTTCCCAATTGTTGAGGTTAGGCGAATGGCCAAAACTGGCACTGTAAGCTTTCTTGAATATGGGAACAACATTTAGTTGCTTTCAGTCTGTTGAATCCTAACCAGTGGTGATTGACTCTAATGTTTGTTGTTGCCTAATGTGCATTCTTTTCCTGGCTGCTATCTGCTGGCGTATGGTGTCGGTGCACGTTTTTGTTCTGCCGATTACCAGGAAGAGATATTAGAAAAGAAAACATGCAGGTGGAAGTAAAAGCACAAATTAAGCCAGTTTGCTCCACATAACAGTTTCTTTACTCACCGGACTGTGTGCTTTGCTTTTCAAGATTTCTTCAATACATAGAAGTCTCTGAAACTTCCAGGTAGAGGAATAGGAATTGGGGAGGGGAGGGGACTCTCAGCTCAAGCTCAAACTATCACAGTTACTTTTCATTCACTAATCTAACAAATACTGAAGATCCAAGATGCCACCTTGTACCTTGAATCTTCAGTTATCTCAATCCTTGACTGTTTGTGGGACACTGCTGTGTGCAATTGGCTGTCGCGTTTTGCCTATAAAATACACAGTCACTCCGCTTTACACCGCAACTGAAGAGGAGCAAAGATGGTAGTCCTCCAGCACAGTGTCAGTCTGGACTATAAGCTCAAGTTCCAACATAGAGCTCAAACCAAAAATGTCTGACGCAGAGGTGATAGTGCTACCAACTGATCCGAGCTGACAATATCATCACGAAAGCCAAATGCACTCTCTTTTCTCCCCCTCCTTTACAAGTTAAATAATCAGTAATGGTACACCATTATATCTGACAGTGTGAATAAACAAATATCTGTGTTGTCAAGACTCTTTGGTTCAATTACTGTCAAACAGTAGGCCACTAGCTGCTGAAATAGCCTTTTCGCCCACAAAAATACACAGTCAATTCTATTTAAAGTATATTCTACGAAGGGCTTTGAGAATTCTCAATGATGTGACAAGGCACTGTATCAAATGCAAGGATTATTATTGTTATTAATAATATTATTAATATCCACCACCTTTGAACACTGCACTTTAGTGTTTCGTGATCCCGTCATAATACTATGATACAGGGGTAAATATCAGTCCATCTATTTTGATCCTTGTGCAGGATTTGCACAATTTAAGATGTGCGTGTCCTCATTTTGACCGAGTTTGTTTTGTTTAAGTCTTTTCAAGTAAGCGCTTGTCCAGTAGCCGTCCGTTTCCTTCTAAAATTAGTCAAATCTGTTGAAATACATGAGCCAGAGACTACATGAGGCCCAAGGTACCGCCAAGATTGTGTGCCAGATAAAATCTTAGTGCTGCGGGCTGAATGCCTTGTCTGAATTTGCTGCAAAATAATTCCATGCCCGGCAAAGCTAAAGTGTGTATGAGATGGCCTTAACTACAGCATCACAAAGGATTGCCTTACAGTGTTAAGTTGTTTCACAGCCTACAACAGATGAATGAAGCATTTTCCATCATACAATACCCCAAAAAATGCATCAGTCGTTTAAAAAAAAAAATTGCTTTTAACAGCGGTTTTATTTTTAATAGGTTGGGACCTATTTCGTTTAAAAATAACGCTAAGTGTTTTATATTAAATCATGATCTTGTTTGGGAGAGTTATACTTAGGGACAGTTCTGCAATTATGTATAAAATTTGCAGGGCTATGGGGTAAGAGCAGGGGTGTGGGACTTGTTGGTAGCTCTTGTCAAAGAGCTGGCGCAGACATGATGGGCTGAATGGCCTCCTTCTGTGCTTTAAGATTTTATGATTCATATGATATCCATTTTGTAGAGCTATTTCAGTTGCATCATTTGGAGTAATACTGGGCACTAGTTATAAGTCACCAGTGAGAAAGATGCAATTATTTGTAGTTATAATAAACTATATTATATCTTTAGGATAAAATAAACTAGTTTATAATGCTGGAGTTCCCTTAACATATTTTAATCACTATTCTACATAAGGCAATTTTTCACACACATCAAAAGTGCTGCACAATACAAGTTGAGGCCTACATACATACTTTAAGGTGACAGCCTGGCTTACTTGGTAGCACGCTTGTCTGAGTCATAAAGATTATGGGTTCCAAGCCCCAAATTGGCTTAATATTCCAATATAATGCTGGATGAGCACTGCATTAATACTGTCCAAGACCCTCTTCTTCGACCGTGCATTCAGCCACCCTCTTACCCCTACACTCCCTGTCCTCCACCCTACCTGATCCCAACTGTCCAGCGCCTTTGGACGTCTTCC